CCAAATGAGTGGATGTTTTCTCTAACCTATTGTTAACATTAATTTATTTTAAAAAATTAAAGTTATAATAAAAATTAATTAATTAATACCCATTTGAGAGCCAATAACTGATCATAGAGTCCGACATTTCCGGGCGCGTCCTCCCGATCCCCGTATAGGAAACCCAACGGTCCTAACCTATAGTTTGTTGAGACAATTACCACGTCATGTGTGGCCAAAACACTACCATTAAACCACTCGTTAAATATTGAGCCCACATTAAGACTCCCTCCGTGTATCCAAAACATCACTGGCTTTAATGCTGTGGTATTTGTTGTCCATATATTAAGCACCAGACAGTTTTCACTCTGAACTGTGTCCGGAAGGAAAGGTAGTCCAGACGACCCCTGTATACATAAGTGCTTGGGTTTTGTCGCATCAATTATATCCTATTGATATTTATTTAAATGATAAGTTTATTATATATTTATTATAATTTAATTCATATAATACTTACGGGGAATGGCTTTATAATAGGTTCGGGTTTTGCGAACCTAAGTTTGCCGACCGGGGGTTCGGCGTAAGGAATGCCCAGAAATTGGTCCACATTTGTGGTCAACACATGTAGTGTCCGACCCCTCACTACTCCTATACTGGTGTTCACATCAATACTATTCACTGTATTTAATGTGAAATATAAAATAATTATTGTAACAAAATAAAAGCTAAACATCTCAACTATTTCTGATTTAAAATAATATTCCAGCGTAACAAACCAACATTCAATTAAACACAATTCATATAACGTATTGAGTTTTAAACATTATTGTTAATCGTTGATAGGGTTATTTGGTAACAGTTGTATACTTTATGTGTTTATCATTTTTGAACAATCACATTTTTTGTTAATAATTACTTATAATCAATGTAACAAAATTAAAAATATGCTTTTTCTCTCATAAATTCAAACATGTTTAATTTATTATTTGTTTAATATGTCATTTGGTGAAAGTGATATTAGATATTTTTTAATACATACACGAAATTTTGTTAATTTATAACATTTAATGAGAAGTTATGTTGTAAACATTTAAAATAAAATAAATCTTTAAACGTGTTATTTTTCACATTTCTCTTTATCATCAAAGTAAATGTGATTAAACAAATCTTTTAATTTCCTAGTATATCTATATAAATGATCTATGGAAAAAATTTTACCATGTGTTGCTGATACCATGTGTACACTAGTATCCAAACAGTAACTGTTTCTATTGATATTTGTTAAAATGATTTTATTTATGCAATTCAATTAAAAGTATTATAGTTTATTCAACAAATTATTTAATTGCATGGATAACTTATAACGTATAACTTATAACATAACTTATGAATCACATGATTGAAACCTGAAAACAGGTTTTGTTATCTTAACAAGGCAATTTTGAAAACAAGTCAAAATCATTCTTTCGCTAGGCGGGTAAATTTGGGTAAACGGGGGTATTGGAGGGTAACATACTTTATGCACCATTTTTAATTATCTTTATGCATTCAGATATATTGTACGCATATAATGAGAGAGGTAGATTGTTTATATTTAGTGAATTTAGTTGTTATAATTAATATATTGTGTAGAAATGTTGTATAAAATTAGTTTTAATGTTCTCAATAACTCTCTCAATTATTTGTTCAATAACTCACTCGGTGTCACTCATTTGTTGACAATATTATTAAATAAATGTAACGGCATTTGTGATTAATGTTTGGATAGTTATTATAATGCAACAAAAATTATGATTAGTTAAAAACTTTTTTGAAAGCTTTTTTTGGAAGATGCGAAGTGTTGATTATGATTATATATAATTTTAGTTGTAAACTTTAATTAATATTTTTTAAATTTCGGCAAAGAATGCTTATAATATTTTATTATTTTTATTAATAAAAACTTAAATATTGTTCTAAAAATAACGATATTTAGAAATGAATTATATTAAGTTTATCTAGAAGCTGAAAATGTCAGCACCTGGGATATATGATAATTAATTAAGATAATTTACATAAAATAACTTCAATAATAAAATGTTACTGCAAAGTATTTCCTATAAGATCTATTGAATTAAGATTATGATCAGTTTTGTTTTTAAGGTCAAATGGTATTTTGTTTTATTTGTTTAACAATTAATCCATATAAAAAATATAGCAATTAACATCATACAAACCGGTTAGATTAAATTAGCAAGGTCTTATTTACTTACGTTGTTGAGTTGCTCGGCTATATAAGAGATGTGTTTTTTATACAGTACATAATTAAAATAGCTAACTATTGTAAACTCTTTAATCATAACTTATATTGGTAAATTTCAACAATGAATGCTTTATTCAGTAAATGTGTTAATAAACTATTGAACAAACATCAATTATTGTTCTATTGTGCAATTTTTATGTAACTTACAAAATTTATATTTTATTTTAGAATTAAGCTTGGTTATTTAATTGTTGGCTAACATCCACCTAATACTAGGCAAATGCCCGGATGCGAGCGAAATCTTACCATGCTATGGATGTGATAATGGATTCATAAAGTGTTCGAGCAATGAGAACATAGATTTAGTCAACATATTTGACAAATTAAACACAGCGTTGGAACCAAAAGAAAAGCACTTTGTATTATTCGAGTTTAATAACACTGGAGTGTCTCATATCAAGTCGAACGCATTCGGCGATATTAGCTTTGCAATGATTGTCATTGATAAAAGCAACTTGGTCTCGATTAGTCCTAGCGCATTTATGTCATCATACCCGCTTGCTACAGAGCTAACTATAACATCGAATCCACATTTGGAATACGATATATACGAATTTATTAGTAAATTTTCTAACCTGGTCAATTTTGTGAAAAGGTGACCATGGTGCCCGATAACGCATTCGGAAATCAGCCTAACATGATAAAACTTGACATACAATCGGGCGAACAGTCAATAGGGAGTTACGCGATTAGAAAGTTAATCGGGTTAGTAGATATTTGGCTTGGTCATAATTCTCTGACCCATGTGAGCGCTCACGCGTTCGCCATTGATCAGCCCAGCAGTGAATTTTTACACATTCACTTTGACTTCACTAAACTGACCGAGGAGAGTTTTGACACAGATTCATTGGTGGACATAAACCGACCCGCAATTGTTTATTTTTTCGAGGACACTTGCAGATTTAGATATTTGCCCCAGCGCGTATTTCTACCATTTTTTAAGCAGACTGCTAAGAATAGTATACATTTTTATGGCATAACATGCGACACGTTTGACTGTCAGGATTGCAGATCGTATTGGTTGAAACAAAATAATTTATTTGATAAGATTGATAATTTAAAATGTTCTGATGGTAAATCGGTAAAGGATGCTGGTAATTTTGCTCTTTGTTAAAATTAAATGTATTTTACTTGATTTAATTATAATTTTATACAATAAATTTTTAATTAATGGAAAGGAGAAGTTGTATATCTTATAAATTTCCAGTATGTAATTTTCTTGATGTCTATTAAAGTATACTAAATAATTAAATTATATAAAATGCGTATAAAAGTGTCATTTATGCGTAATCTGTGACATACCTTATTAATAATTGTTTAATAAAGTTTCTATTATGTAAACAATTGTTTTTAGACTAAACACAATAATATAACATTTTTATTGTATTTAGTTTTAATTGAAATATTAATTTTATGATTACTTTATATTGTATATTAATACAATCTCTACTATATTATGTAGTGTTTGATAAAATAATAAATATTTGCTTACTTATTTGTTAGTAAAATTATTTCTGTTTAATAGTTTATTTTAATTAAATAATTGTATTTTTATATACGGTATACTGTATGTACAATATTACATATTGATTGTAATACAAACAATATTTAATTAATCATATATTGCGAGATTATTTACTAGATACATGTTTAATTTATTTATTTAAAGAATAGTCACAAGTTTACTTTTTGTATATTTATGAGAGTATTGAAAAAGTGATATAGTGCATAGTGTCCAAAAGATTGAAAAAAGATTGAAATCCCAATGTATTGTCTATGGGAGCATAAGGGCAAAGCCTACCTTTTTGGACGTCTAGATATAGTGTAATGTAGAATACATAATAATAGTAATAAATATAATTTTACAAGTATAATAAAGGTATTAGTTAATAATAAGTTATCTATATTTTAATATAATGTTTGCAAAACCAAAATATTCTCGAAAAGCATCAAGCCCAAATAAAATTTTTCAATATTTGGACCAACATGTCCCATTGATAATCCAGACATTAATATGGTATCACCGGTTTATGGGTCTAACATTTGGTGGCATAACTATTAACTTAACTACGGGTAAAATATCTCAAAATAAATACTGGAAGATATATGGTTATTTAGCATGTTTATTTTTTATTGGGTTTGAATTATACCTTACAATAATGTCTATAAAACAATTTAATCATGTAATGAAGCAGGCATTTGGCAAATTAATGTACATACCTGCTTTATTTATATCGTCGCAACTATTTGAAATGCTCATTAAAAATATAATTGTATTTAAAATAAACAAAAATGGGTTTACAATGATTAAGCTATTTCTAGATAACATTGGACCATATATAAAACACCGTATAACAGGTCGTATAATTATAATATTTATTACCTGGCTGCTGCACTCAGTTTTGATGATCAACATCTATTATAACACCATAGTTACAAATCCCCAGTTTTCAACTATTGCTCAATATATATATGGTATTTCGTTTGTATTTGTATTGTTTTATTTATGGATACCACACTTATTTATATGGATTACCTCGTCATACTGTATTGAGTAAGTAATTTATATAATTTAAATACCAATAATTAATAAAATTACACAACCTATGATAGCGTGATGAATGATATTTGTGCGGATAATAATAATGTGACATTTAATGACATCTATCCGAGTGGTATGATTAACTCATGTAAGTTTAATATAAATGTAAATTAAATATACATTTTATATATTACACGTACTTTGGATTAATTTAAAAATATAAAAACTAATTACGTTATTAATTAATTACTATATAAACTAGATTACGATTATATAAATATTCGGGTCAACAAAAATACAATTAGCAGCAAAATAGTGTATAACAAGAAACTATACGTTAAAATACGGGAAACATTGTGCGTTTTGGACAGATGGTTAAACTACACGCTAGTGTTGACCACAATTCATACGATGTTTACCATAATGTTAAGCATATACACTGTAACCCTGGTGCAGACAATACCTTTCCTAAAACATTTTGTGCATTCAATGTTATTTAATAGTCTATCGGCCAGTATTTCAACGATTATGTCGTGTTTTATATGCGGTTTAGTGTCGACTAAAGCGGCAAAACTTCAGTACATTTTGCATGAGATTAATGCCAGAGATTTGTCGGACGACGAGTATAACGAGTGGCTTATGTTTGGGACAATTGTACGAAACACTCGTACGTTTGGATTCACGATCGGAGGTTACGCTGTGTTTAATAAATTGACATTTATTGAGGTTTAAGTGCATATATTATTATTGTTTTACTTATTATTTATTATATTTTTATTTTTCTATGTAGATATTCTCGTTTATTCTGTACTACACCGTCATCTTGTTGCAAACAAGCTCGGTTTAAAACATGAATACTCAACTTTGTATTGCAAATTAATTAATTAATTAAATTCATATTGTAATTTTTATTAAATATTTTAAATATACAATTGTTGCACATTACTATAAAAATGTCATTATTAAATTTTAATAAATTAATATATGTTAAATATAAGTTATTATAAATGTCAAATTATTATACAATATAAGTACAAATAAACATTTAATACATAGAATAGATTCGAAGATTTTATATTAATTAAATTTTAAGTTTTATTCTGTAGTATAATATATGGTTTGACATTATTATATTGATCGTTTTTAACACATTGTTTTGTTGTAGCTAATAAGTTATTTAATTAGTAAAATGTTTGTCAATATAAGAAAATTTTTTATTGAATATTTGTAAAAATTATGTATTTGTATATCATTTATTGATTTATATGTAAATAACATTTAATTAATAGTGTTACAATTAATAAAATTACAAAATATTGCATTATTATTTATTAAATACATTTTGCTAAATAAATATTATAAAAAAGTCGCAAGTTTCATTGATGAAAATGTTTACAACAATTATAACTTAACTATAATTAAATTCTTAAATATAAGTTTAAAAAATATTTACGTTTAGTTTATAAACAACTTCAATTTTAATGTAATGTTTGTAGAACCTAGATGAAATATCTTATATCAATAATATTTTATTCTCTGCAGATTAATAAAAATCAAGTTAAATTAATTTAACAAAATATTATAGTATAAATAATAACATGTATAATCTGCATAAAACATATCGTTCATCAAATCGTGTTTTACCTTATATGGACCAACATTTTCCAGTTATAGTCCGCACATTAATATGGTTTCATCGGTTTATGGGCATAACATTTGGCGGCATAACTATTAATATATGCGGGAATAGGGGGCAAATATTTCAAAATAAATATTGGAAGTTATATGGTCATTTAGCATGGTTGTGCTTTGTTTGCTACGAGTTTTACCTTATGGTGCTTATTATAATTAATTTTACCAAGATTAATCAACATGTGTTTGATGGGTTTACTTTATTTATACCAATATTATTTATGGCATCGCAAGCATTTGAAATATTCATTAAAGATTTTATTGTTTATCAAGTTAACAGCAATGGGTTTAAAATGATCAAGCTAGTTGTAAATAACATTGGACCTTATATTAAAACACGTATAACAATAGGCATAATTATGATATTTATTATATGGTTGCTGCACATTATTTTGCTTACTTCTATGTACGTAATTACCGTTGTGATAAATCCTAGTTTTACCACGATGGGTGACCTAATGAATGGCCTTGTATTTGTCTTTGTTCTATTTTATTTGTGGTTACCATACTCAATTATATGGGTAATATCGGCCTATTCCATTCTGTTAGTATGTTATACCATTAATCTAGTTTAAGTATAGCATAATTATTTTAAAATATTTCAATAGAATAATAGACGATATTTGTATGGAAACAAGTAATAGGTCTGTTATAAATAACTATCCTGGTGAAATGATTGGATCATGTAAGTAATTAAGATAATTAACAAATGTTTTTAAAATTATTACGTTTGTTAAAATTAAACAAATAGATTGTGATTACATAAACATTCGCATCAAAGGGCATACTATGGGTAGAAAAATAGGGTATAATAAAAGATTATACGTTACGATGAGAGATATGCTGAATATTGTGGACAGGTGGTTACACTACTCACTAATATTAAACACAATTCATACAATATTCATCATGATGGTAGATCTATATGCTGTAACACTATTACCAAAAATGCCAGAACTTATGCTATTTGTGCAGTTAATGACGTTTAATAGTATATCCGCAAGTATTTCAACCATTATTTCGTGTTTTATATGCGGTTTAGTGTCGACTAAATCGGCAAAACTTCAGCGTATTTTGCATGCGATTAATGCCAGGGATTTGTCGGACGACGAGTACAACGAGTGGCTTATGTTTGGGACAATCGTACGAAACACTCGTACGTTTGGATTCACAATCGGAGGTTACGCTGTATTTAATAAATTGACATTTATTGAGGTTTGATGTTTAATTATGATTATGATAGTACATTTTATATATATTTGTTTGATAATTTATTGAATTCTATTGACTATTGTGTTTAGATATTCTCGTTTATTCTCTACTATACTGTTATTTTGTTACAAACTAAATCAGTTTAAAATTTCAATGGTCAAATCAAGATACATAACATTTAAAGTACACTTACAATGTAATAATCTTATAAAAAATTGTGACGATTATTGACATCACCCACCCTAAGACATCACCACAAGCAGATCCACACCACAAATAAGACAATATCTCACCACAGTTTCACACAATTCTCAGAAAAACACACTCAAGCACTGCAAAGCACACACACATTGTCTTAATTAGCATTTGACCCACATTTGGACACAAACTCACCCTTTTATGACTCGCCTGAAGGCATCACTTCCCAAGAAAAACACCACTTTCACCACATTTCATCACTCAACTCAACCAAATCACTTAACTATGTTTTTTTTATGTTATAACCATATTTAATTGTAATCATTTTTATAATTATATTCATAACTAAAATATACTAAACATAACACACATTTTGGCACCAAAATCCGGCGCCACACACCACCCATTCACCCACAAATTGTCACCCAAAAACCATGCAAACTCACACACCAAAATATGTTTTCTTTTAAGACATTCTGTACATTTTCACTCCAAACTCAGTTCAGTTCAATGCAATAAAAATACAATTCAATTCAAACCAAAACGCTGTCACTTTCGTTCACACACTCACTCTCACTAATTATTTTCAAACGCGAGTCTGCTCCTCAGCATTGACACGTATTCTTCTACTCTGCGTGTGTCTGCTCTAAGCATTGACCACAAAGTGCTACCGGCTTTTCACTGTCCAAACCACCCGAAAGTTGACCAGCAATTCACCCGTCATTCCAGTCGTTCGCCCCAAATAATTGAGTTTTCATTCACAACCGCCAAAAAGTAGCGCCACTCACCAAACCAACCACTGTCGCTAGAAAGCAGCGCCAATCACCACAATCACCACATTCACGCCGTACACCACCTGAGTAGCCGTCGCGACCACAAAGTGGCCACTCCTCGTCCACCACTGACTGCACTCGTATCCACTCACCTCCACATTCGTCGGTAAGACCTTGTCGTCACCAGATTTAGGCCTACAACCGTCGGAAAGCCTGTCACCCGATTCGAGCTCACCCACACACACCCTCACCCCCTCGATTCCGGCGTCAGACCCCACCGTTGACGACCATTCCCACTGTCAACACACCCACCTTTACCCGGGGGCTCCAACCAAACACAACAAACCCTCACATTGGGCTCGGCCAGAGTCACAAACCCTCACAAAATACTGTAATCAATTTATCTAAAGATAAAAATTCTATCTATAATAATCTATCTATCTATAATTCAAAACCAATTCGTTAATATTTTTGCTTATTTTAATATTGCAACTAATATAATTTATACAATTAATATTAGTATTTCAATTAACAAAATTATTTGTAATTGATAAAAATTAATGAGAAATAAATTTTTCCCAAAACTCGCTCTCTCTCTCTCTCTCTCTCTCTCTCTCTCAACATTGGTATTATTTATAATGTGTAGTCCAAAAATATTTAAACATATTGAGCTGTAAACTTTAATAAATAATTGTTAAGTATTATATTTGTCGTATATTATATTAAACTATTGGGTTTAACTAATCATTATATTTTATTTAAATATTTATAATACAGTTAAAATTCTTATTTGAGATTTTTGGATTTAAATTTTCAATAACAAAATATCATCTTATATAATGAATCTTTTATGTTAGTTAAATATCATTACAATAGATTAATCAAATGGATTATGTTTGTAGGATTTTAGAATCCGACATGTGTTTTTACAATAATATCTATTTTAAGATATTATATATTTTATGTCATGAATTTCTTATATCAATACCATCCAGAAGTTTAATTTTCACGATAATAAATGTTTACGTGGTTAATTGATTTGACTACTTAAAAATAAAATAAAAGTAAATTTAAGGTTATGTTTTTAGATGCTGAAAATATCACCACCTGGATAATTAACAATAATTTATATTTGTGTAATTTTAAAAATATTAATTTACATTTACATTAAGATTTAACTTGGGTTATAAGTTATTTTTGACAAAATTATATAAATATAAGTGCATTAAACTAAAATTTATTACACTTTCAAGTAATTCTTTACAATAATTGAACAATTTTATTATGAGTATGTTTAAGAGTAAGTGTTAATTAAATAGTAAATTGATAAAATGGATAAAAATTATTTAATTTATTCTAGGATTAAGTTGGGTTACGTTGTTGTTGACCAATTTTCAAATAATACTAGGCAAATGCCCGGATGCGAGCGAAATCTTACCATGTTATGGATGCGAAGATGGATTCATCACGTGTTCTGGCGATGAGAACATAGATTTAACTAAAATATTTGACAAACTAAACAAAGCGTTGGAACCGAAAGAAAAGAATTTTATTATACTTGAATTTAACAATACAAAAGTGACCGATATTAGGGCCATGACTTTTGGTGACATTAGCTTTGGAAAGATTGTAATTGATAAAACAAATTTGACTTATATCTGGCCTGATGCGTTTGCGGCCTCATTTGCGGTGACCAAGGAACTAATCATCTCATCAAATCCACATTTGGAGCAAGATAACATGTACGAATTGATGAGAAAATTCACCAACGTGGTTACCATAGCTGAACTTCATAACACAAAAATGACCATGGTCCCGGAAAATGCGTTCGGCAATCAACCAAAAATTAGACAATTAACCATACAATCGGGTGAGCAGTCAATAGGAAGTCACGCATTCAGAGGGTTATCCAGTTTAATAGGTCTTCACATTCAATGGAATTCTCTGAGCCATTTCAGTGCCAATGCATTCTCCATCGATCAGCCTAGCAGTGAAGAACTTTATATTCAATTTGACGGTAACAATTTTAACGAGCACAGTTTCGATACTGGTGCATATGTAGGCATAAACCGACCCACAGGCTTAGGGTTTGCATACGGCGATTGCCAATTTAGATATATACCCCAGCACATATTTCTGCCATTTATTAAAGAAAACGATAAGAATTATTTAGACTTTTATTATGACAAATACGATAAATTTGATTGTCAGGATTGCAGATCTTATTGGATAAAGCAGAATAATTTATTTGACAAATTTCGTAAAGTAAAGTGTTCTGATGGTAAACATCTAAATGATACTGCTAATTTCGCCTATTGTTGAGATATATAATGAATAACATTTAATATGATTGAATTTAGATATCTTTAATAAATAATAAAATTATTGATTATCATTGACACAAATTAGAATTAATGTTGATTAAAATAATTATAAATAAGAAAAAACTTTAATTACATATAAATCAATGTCGGTAATTATAAATTTTGAAATTCACTTCGTTTCATAGTTACAAATTCAAGTTTGTAAATTCTAGTTTATTTGAATCCTTAATATATTTTTAAATAAATCGTAATTTTATAAATCTGAATGAAGTTTGTAATTTATGTGTAATATAAAATTTTCAATATAGATGGCAATTTGTATTTGCTTACTTTTCCTAGTGGTTACAGATAAATGAAAGTGGTATTTTGAATACTGTGATGATTAAATAAATAACTGTAAATTTAATTAATTGTTTTAGGTCACTATGTTACTACGGTTCACATCACGAATCTTAGACTAATACTATTAACAGCTAAATATAGGTGGTATATGTAATGCAATGTGTTGTTTATAATTGTTTAGTAAATTTTATTATTTATAAATGATAAAAATAAATATAATTATTAAAATAAAAAAAATATCATTATAAAATTTAATAGAATAATTATTAACTAAAATTGTGAACATTTTTAAATCACAATAATTAAAATGTACGTAGTTATACTATTCACAAGTATTGTTCATAATAAATATTCAATAAATTTTTCAATAAAATTTTATCATTTTTAACAATCGATGAACTAAAATTTTATTTTACTGATTAGTGAATTAACAAAGTTAACTCTTGAAACATTTCAATACCACTCAATAAATTTAAGAATAATTATTGAAAAAAAATTCGAAATGTCAACACCTGCCACATATGATAATTACAATAAATAAGATAATTTACATTAAGTTGTTTGGAATTAATAATATGGTATACGTGCAAATTATTTTGCATTAAATGCAGTTATAGTTGAGATTATGATTATTCTTGTCTTGAGTTCAGAATAATTGTTATTTTGTATAAAAACTTATAATAAAAGAATTAATGCTAATCAGTATTTTAATTAATCCGGGTAAAGTTCACAATATCTATATATGGAAAATATATTACTAAACATTAGATTAAATAAACAAATTAGATTTATTTTCAGTAACTTAATTACATAAAATGATTAATTTCTCGTTACTATATAAGTAGTAGAATTTGTTTCATATAATTATTATAGTTTAATTATATAAACACTTTAAATCATATAGAGCTAAATAATTAAACATTTCACTAATGACTGCGTTGTTAAGTAAGCATTAATAAATTATTTTACGCTTTAAATAATCATTAAAATATAAAATATTATTAATTATAATAATAATCTTTTCATTATTACATTGTATTATAGAACTAAAATGGGCCGTATGTTTATTGGCCAACATACAATTAATAGCAGGCAAATGTCCGGACCCGAGCGAAATACTACCATGTTATGGATGCGAAGATGGATTCATCACGTGTTCTGGCAATGAAAACATAGATTTGATCAAAATATTTGACAAATTAAACAAAGCATTGGATCCAAAGGAAAAGAATTTTCTGACCTTCGAGTTCAATAACACTGGAGTGACTCATATCAAGTCGAATACGTTTGGCGATATAAGCTTTGCCAAGATTCTCATTAATCACACCAACTTGGTCTACATTAACCCGGCTGCGTTCTCCGCTTCGCACACGGTCACTAAAGAGTTAATCATTACGTCAAACCCGCATTTAGAGCACGATATATACGAACTAATTAGTATATTCACAAACGTGGTTAATGTTGTAGAAATGTACAACACAAAAATCACCATGGTTCCCGATAACGCGTTCGGCAATCAACCAAAAATTGTAACTTTAAATATACAATCGGGAGAACAATCAATAGGTAGTTACGCGTTCAGAGGGTTATCCGGTTTAACATATTTGAATCTTATTGGCAATTCTCTGTCTCATATCAGCACAAAGGCTTTTGCAATCGATGGACACAGCGATGTTCAGCTTGTTATTTCATTAGAAAATAATTATTTAAACGAAGGCAGTTTTGATATAGGTGCATTAGTGGGAATTAACAGACCAACAACAATATATTTTGGGGATGAAGATTGTGAGTTTCGATATTTACCCCAACACATATTTCTATCATATATTAAAGAAAATGATAAGAATATAGTCGATTTTACTTATAAAACATACACGAAGTTTGATTGTCAAGATTGTAGATCTTATTGGATAAAACAGAATGCGTTATTTAGCAGAATTCATGCCTTAAAGTGTAATAACAATAAACTGTTAAATGACACTGGTAATTTTGCTCTTTGCTGAAATAAAATGATTAAAACTAAAATGTATTAAAAATTATGTTATCCAGTCCGTCAATATAAAGCCAATCTTTATATCCGCCAATCTGAAATCCGAATATCTCCTAAACCAAATGAGCTGGATCAAATCTATAACTCGTGAAATGATGTCCCATATATCTAGTTTTTACCAGAAAAAAATTATTGAAATCACGTGACTAGAACATAAAAATTTTTGGGCCATTTTGATTTGTCATAGTTTTAGTTCAATTGAAAGGGGGGTCGGAAAGGGGCGGGTATGCTATTCGGTAGAGGAGATGTCAAAGTATATAAATAATAACCATGTTTGTCAATTTATATAATCTGCAAAAAACATATCAGTCATCAAATCGTGTATTAAATTATATAGACCAACATTTTCCAGTTATAATCCGCGCATTAATATGGTTTCATTGGTTTATGGGCGTAACATTTGGCGGCATAACTATTAATATATGCGGAAATAGGGGGCAATTATATCAAAATAAATATTGGAAAATATATGGCCATGTAACATGGTTGTGCTTTGTTTGCTACGAGTTTTACATCACAATACTTATTATAATAAATTTTACCAAGTCTAGTCATCATGTGTATGATGGTTTTACTATATTTATCCCAATACTATTTACGGCATCGCAAGTATTTGAAATATACCTTAAAGATTTTATTGTATATCAAATTAACAGCAATGGTTTTAAAATGATCAAGCTAGTTGTTTATAACTTTGGACCTTATATCAAAACACGTATAACACTTAGCATAATTATGATATTTATTATATGGTTGCTACACATTATTTTGCTTATTACTATTTACGTAATTACTGTTGTAAAAAATCCTATTTTTACTACGATGGCTGACTTAATAAATGGACTTATATTTGTTTTTGTTTTATTTTATTTGTGGTTACTTTACACAATTATATGGGTAATATCGGCTTATTGCATAATGTTAGTATGATATACCATTAATATAGTTTAATTGTAGCATAATCATTTTAATAAACACAAATTTCAATAGGATAATTGACAACATTTGTATGGAAACTAATAAAGGGTCGGTTATAGATAACTATCCTGATGAAATGATTGGATCATGTAAGTAAACAATAATTATGATAATTAAGAAATGTTTATAAAATTATTACGCTTGTTAAAATTAAACAATTAGATTATGATTACATAAACATTCGCATCAAAGGGCATACTATGGGCAGGAAAATAGCATATAATAAAAAATTATACGTTACGATGAGAGAAATGCTGAATATTGTAGACAAGTGGTTACACTACTCACTAATATTGAACACAATTCATACAATATTCATCATGATGGTAGATCTATATGCTATAACACTATTACCAAAAATGCCAGAACTTATGCTATTTGTGCAGTTAATGACGTTTAATAGTCTATCGGCCAGTATTTCAACGATTATGTCGTGTTTTATATGCGGTTTAGTGTCGACTAAATCGGCAAAACTTCAGCGCATTTTGCATGCGATTAATGCCAGGGATTTGTCGGACGACGAGTACAACGAGTGGCTTATGTTTGGGACAATCGTACGAAACACTCGTACGTTTGGATTCACGATCGGAGGTTACGCTGTGTTTAATAAATTGACATTTATTGAGGTTTGATGTTTAATAATGATTAAGTTAATATACTATAAAGCAAGACGTCTGAAAAGGTGGGCTTTGCCTGTATGCTCTCATAGACAATACATTGTAGTTTTTCTCATTTTGTGCTCTTTTAGATGCTATGCTATAAAGTATATTATTATTATGTATATATTTAAATAATTTACTAAATTTTATTAACTATTTTATATAGATATTCTCGTTTATTCTCTACTACACTGTTATTTTATTACAAACTAAATCAATTTAAAATTTTAATGGTCAAATCAAGATACGCTAATAAATATGTACTGTAATAAAGCTACTTTAATGAGGTAATAAAATTTAACAATTCTATCTCTAATAAGAATATCCAAAAATAATTTATAAATATCTGAAAACCTTTAATATAATGTTATATTTATATTTAGGTATATAAAATTGAATGCATAACTAATTTATTGGAAGGGCATTTTATTTACAATAATTTGTCTATTTAATTTTTTTAATAATTTTTAAACGTGGTTATAAAAAGAAAAATATTTTAATATTGCCAACTATTACAATTAATATTAGCATTTCATTTAACAAAATTGTTTTTAATTGTGGGAAACTAGAGAAAAATGAGCTCTTCTTAATTCTCTCTCTCTCTCTCTCTCTCTCTCTCTCTCTCTCTCT